CCCCAAAACCCCAAAACCCCAAAACCCCAAAACCCCAAAACCCCAAAACCCCATATTTGCCTCTTATTATTTAAAATTTAAAGTCTGAAAAAGCCACATTTAGCATGAAAGATTGCGGAGAATGGATACTGAAATGACTAGATTGCTCTCATCGCAGAGGTACTGTATTTACGATTACCCTCTATAGAAGCCACCGGAGCCGCCAGGAATGAAGTGATCTTACAAGATCCAGCAATAATGAAGAAAAAGTTGTTTCCAATCTCCAAGAAGGCAAAACCTAAAAAGGAATTTGCATTGACTTTATACAAATGTGAGAGGATTATTGAAAACAATCCAACAGAGTATGATAGTTTCAGACCAAGGTAAGCTACTCCTCCAATACAGTATAGATTAAGTAAACTAAGTCCGTATAAAGAGTCAAATGAGAAGGTGCTAACTTCCTTGCAAAAGACTCCGTCCTTGTCAACATTTTCTGAACTAGAGTACACCCCTGAGAAAGGAGATGAAAATTATTACAGGTTTCATTGCTCAGTCTGTTTCAAGTATTTCTCGAACATCCTAAGGTCTCAGTGCTGTAAGAATTATTTCTGAAGGGACTGATATCACTCCTTAAAGGAAGACATCAAGGCTAAAAGTTCAGGAGGAGGTGTTAGATGTATCTTCTGAGGTAAACTTCCTCTTGCACTTGAGCAGATAGACCCAGACAGTCCAGTAAAGAATTATAAAAACGCTCCTTTAAAAATTCTTCAAGGAAAGTTGTCTCCCAATGAGCTAGCTGAAGATACACAAAATTTTGAGCTCCATGGCGAGCCTCCTCACTGCAGTGAAGAACTTAAGCTAGGAAATAATGATAGCTATATGATGACACCATTGACAAAAGAAGATGATGGGCTGCTTAAAAGTAATCTTTGAGGATATTTTCATGAAACCTTTATTAAAATCTCTGAAATTTTCTGACACTTGGAGAACTAATAATTTCAACCTGGCTTTCTGGATAAAATTTCCTTTTTGTATATTAGAGGAAATTTTAATGAGATTTATGCACTAATAGCTAAATCTGCGATTTAGCCATCAATGATACTTTTTATTCATACTTAATTTAGGATCAACTATAAGAATGAATTACTCGGTGCCAAAGAACCCATTCAAAGAATTTATTGGTAAGATTTCCATACTAATTTCAGACTCTTTTCTGGGAGGAAAGTCCAGTACCAATTACTCAAGCTGTAAAGGTAAATTAGGGTGACAAATCTTTAGGCAGCTTCATCACCACTGATAAGAAGAAGGCCAAAAAGGTACCACTGATGCCTTCAATGGTAGATTCTTCCTTTTTAAAAATCTAGGAATATGAGCAAAAATTTGAAACCAAGCAGAATGAGTATTCTGGATATTCTAAAAGAAAGCATAACAAAGGACTTAGATCTAAGATTATGAGGGACTCTGTCAAGCCTAAGAAGTATTCTCCTCAAGCCATACGAATGTCTGGTCTTCCTTTAAGGAGCTCTCTCACTAAACTGAGAAGTAGCAGAAAGATCAAGTATTATTAAACATTGAGTCTTGAAATGGGGTTTTGGGGTTTTGGGGTTTTGGGGTTTTGGGGTTTTGGGG